GTTTCGGTTAAAAACCGAAATAATGCATATGAAAAAAACCGAAATAATGCATATATGCACAGCTTCGGTTGAAAACCGCAATAATGCATATTAAGAAAACCGAAATTATGCATATGCACTCTTTCGTTTGAAAACCGAAATAATGCATATGACAAAAACCGAAGTAATGTACACATGCACAGTTTCGACTCAAAACCGAAGTAATGCATATGAAAAAAAACGAAATAGTGCATACATGAAAACGAACTTCTTTCTGAGTAGGCGGCCTTCGGCCGCGCTTAGGGATTATAACCCTTACTAAGTAGAATTCTCTTTTCTGTGTTGCCGGAAAAGGGGGCCGAAAGTACTTTTGCGCAGAACTTCTTTCTGCGTAGGCGGCCTTCGGCCGCGCTTAGGTATTATAACCCTTACTTAGTAGAATTCTCCTTTCTGTGTTGCCGGAAAAGGGGGCCGGAAGTATTTTTGCGCAGAACTTCTTTCTGCGTAGGCGGCCTTCGGCCGCGCTTAGGGATTATAACCCTTACTTAGTAGAATTCTCTTTTCTGTGTTGCCGGAAAGAAGGGCGGAAGTATTTTTGCGCAGAACTTCTATCTGCGTAGGCGGCCTTCGGCCGCGCTTAGGGATTATAACCCTTACTAAGTAGAATTCTCTTTTCTGTGTTGCCGGAAAAGGGGGCTAGGGATGTGAAAATAACCTTTAGTATCGATACTTATACTTGGAAGTATTTTTCTGAAAAGGCATCGATACCAAGCCGATACCAACCAAAAAGTATCGAGTATGTACTTTTATTTACTCATTTTCCGCCAGCTAGCTTGCTACTTTTACTCAAAAATTTTAGGTTGACCGTGAAGATCCAATTAAAACATGTCCAAAATGATGTCTCTCTATCCAAACGATTTAACAATCGTCAAGCAAACAAATAATAAAAAGACAAATACATTTGTATTAAAGATTTGTTTATTAAGGCTTTTTGGTATTTTTCATGTACCAAGTGAATATATATACTGTAATGTTTTGAAAACATATTTGAAGAAAATACCTTACTACTATTCTCGTTTAAAGTCAATTCTTTTTTAATAATACATACATATTAAATATGTAAAGGTAGTTAATTAAAAAATTCAGCTTCTGGAATATTTCCAAGAAATAAAAGTTTTTCTAAGTGCTTCCCCAATAGACGATTACGGTTTTTCGTGATTGTACTTCATATAGTATGTACATATATGAGTTTTAAATCCAATTGGACCAAACCCCTTGCCCGTATTGTGTGATAAAAGTCCCACCGTTTTACATTTACCTTTGTAAGAATTTATATTTTGAAACATGTTCTTTATTTCGCTGCATTGTGGTTTTGGGTTTCCATTACCTTCCTCAACGCTAAAAAAAAGGTACATCAAGCCAAATCAGTGAAAAACATTAGATGAGCTAAAGTGTATTTAACTACTTACTTATTCTTTGATGTATTTATTTCATGCACTTTCATGTGCTTGTGTAAGTTTGATGTGTTTCCACAAAATCTGACCTTCTTTGGACACATTTTACATGAAGCTTCTGAGGAGTTAGATTTTGTGAAATATCTCCACACTTCGGAGGATGGCGCCATTTCACAAATATGGTATGTAAAATACTTTGGTTAATACGTACTAAATTAGTTTTTCTGCGGACTGTTTCTACAAGCTTAACTTTCAGTTGAAGCAACGCCACCAAGATAATGAAATTCAAATGAAATGAGGTATAGCAAACCACAATAGCAACGGTAAATTTTGTTTGCTCTGTTGCTCAAATGGCTTTGAGTTGATCGAATATTGTGCTCTCACTTATTGCTCTACCTTATATTTTGGCATTCGTACTTTTGCTTTAAAAGCGATGGGAGTTTATGTATGAGTACTTTTTGCCGATACCAAGTACTTTTATCCGATACCTACTTATTGTATTTGGTAAAAGTATCGATGCCAAAAGTACTTGGTTTCAAGATGAAAGTATCGAGTACCTACTTGTATTTACTTGTATCGTAACATCCCTAAAGGGGGCCGGAAGTACTTTTGCGCAGAACTTCTTTCTCCGTAGGCGGCCTTCGGCCGCGCTTAGGGATTATAACCCTTACTTAGTAGAATTCTCCTTTCTGTATTGCCGGAAAAGAAGGGCGGACGTATTTTTGCGCAGAACTTTTCTCTGCGTAGGCGGCTTTCAGCCGCGCTTAGGGATTAATACCCTTACTAAGTAGAAGTAAATAATTCATATTAGAAAAAACGAAATTATCCATATGCACACTTTCGTTAGAAAACCGAAATAATGCATATAACAAAAACCGAAATAATGCATGCATGCACAGTTTCGGTTGAAAACCGAAATAATGCATATGAAAAACCCGAAGCAATGCATACATGCACAGTTTCGGTTTAAAACCGAAATAATGCATATGGTAAAAACCGAAATAAAGCATACATGCACAGTTTCGGTTGAAACCGAAATAATGTCTAAATGCACAGTTTCCATATGCGCAATTTCGGTGCCCCACTTTGTTCACATAACAGTTGTTGGTAACAGCCAAAAACGAATCAACATATATATGCATAGACAAATGCATACATAAATGCTCAGAATGAATAGAGAAGTCGATTAATCGACACGATACACTCGAGCAAAAATTGAGATATCTTAACGAAATTCGATACATAGGTTTCCCTTTACCAAGGTAGGTTGGTGTTGATAATGGGCGAAATCGGACTGTAATCACGCCCACTTCCCATATAACGGCATTTCCGAAAAATGATAAACCTATGATATTTCAGTAAACATTTGAACCAAATTGTTGAAAGTTAGTATGGGAAGTCAAATTTTGGTAAAAAAATAGTATTCTTATGACATTTTTGGAAAATGGGCGTGACCCCGCTTAAAGGGTGAACACACCAAAACTGCGACACTTAGAGATTACTACAAACAAGAAGAGAAACAAACTAGAAGGCTTTGAAATTAGTTTTTTTGTGTTATATAACTTGGAAGTTTATATGTTATTAAAATGTTAAAATTTTAGTTATTATTTGCTCCATATGCAAGTGATCGGTATTTTCATCGCACACGTGACATCATATTCTGCACGACTAAATCATTGACTTTACGCGATGCGCACAACTACTTTGTTTTGCACTCTTCAGTTTTTTTTTTTACTGTTTCACCTGTTTTCTTCAAGATTCCTCTGACAATTGACCAATATTCCCCAATAGGGAATAGACGTAGCTCTGGGCTATTGGGTGGATTGCAGTCGTGAGGTACAAAATTGATGTTATTTGCATTATACCACGGCAATGTGTCCTTGGCATAGTGGCAGCTTGCCATGTCCGCCTAGAACAGAGCCCTACTACCTTATATGTTGATAAATTACAGAAGACGCCTTTTGAGGCATTCATCCCGATAAACTTGATCATTCATTGTGCCGGAAAAAAAGGCTGCTCTTATCGCCACAGGAACAACTAGCTTGCCAAACCATGTTGTTTTTTGAAAATTTGGACTTCATTTTTAGCTTACAGCTTTCAGGGGCATCTTGACGACTTGCAGCAGTATACAAATCTTGACCTGGAATACATTTTGAATTTTTAAAGCAGTAGATTTCGTAGTCCAAGTCGAAGCTCCATATGTTGCCGTAGGTTCCACCGATGTATTTTCAGTGTAGGCCGAGAAAATAAATAAAGCCACGAAAAATTAATGCTCCGTCAAATATGTGTTTGATTTATTAATTATGTAGGTATACACATATATAAATGTAAGGTGAATACGAAATATTACCTTTATGGTGTGATGAAGGATGAGCTGTTTTGAGGGGAAATTGGGCTAATTCGTTGGCGGGAAAAATAATGCAATTATTTATATGTTCATATTCGTATGTATGTACATATCGGGTGGTTCAGCCTTTCAAAGTTTGGTTTAGGCTAGTGGCCTAAACATGCCGGACCCCTTGCTATAAGCAACATCTGTCGAGCCATTCAACCACCACACCTACATTAACAAATAAATTTAAAAAATATATATAAGTTGTATTCGGCTTCCTGGAAACATTTGGTTAAACATTTCTTTGCACATAGTTGGAATAATTTAAGGTAGTGGATAGCTGGCGAGGATGAGTCTCCAGTCTACCTTGATGCTGTATTGGATAAAATTATATATTGCTTATATGTAGGCTACGGGCGGAGAGGCCTGGTTTCCGCACCATAGCGCTTTTATTTTTTGATCGTGGTCGGAAAGGCCGAGATTCCGATCCACGATGTGGTATTTGCTGTATTATGTATTTTTATTTTATTTTTTATTATTGGGTGGGTGGCGATTAGCAAATGAAAATTTATAATATTTATTAATTATTCCATAACTCTCAGTTTAAAAGTCAATAGTTTTATGATATAAATGATGAAAATGTTACGTGTAGGTTCAGCTTTATGATTGACGGATGTAAGTGATAGTGTGTGATACCCCTAATATTGGATGACCACTTTATATAAGGGTGTGTGGGGCACTTAAATATTAATGCACCGATACATTGCTATCGATTTAGGATTCTTCACACACATTCTTGAGCTGTCATATTGATTCGGTCCTACCCGTAACATTGATTCTGATATCGCAATATCGCCAACTATAATAGGAGCGTTCCTTATCTCCCAGAAATAGTCAGAAAAAGTCCGAAGTTGTCAGATTTAGTCCACAAAGCGTTCCTTAACTCGGAAATGACAGCTAAAATGAGAGAGCAAGACCCAGTGAGAGTGACTCTCATCAGTCCGAAGTATGTAGTCAGATTTAGTCAGAAGAATTTTTTCTGGCAAAATCTTGAATAGTGTCAAAAACTCAACTGACAGCTGGCTGGAAGAAGAAATTAAAGAATTAGCGAAAAGTGAAATTATCTAAAAACTATAAAAATTGAATTAAAAATGGAAGCAGGCAGAAAAATAATTGATATGGTAAGTGTTTATTGTGCTTATGCTTGTGTGAATGTGTTTTGTACATACAATTTTGTATATTTCCAGATCAGTGATGAAAGAATTTGTGGTGCTTCTGGTGGAGCTACAATCCATCCCTTGGGTGCAATATCGGATGGATCTGGGGAAGTAAATATGATAGCTTCTTACATTTTGTGGAATATAAGTTATAACAAATTGTTCTCAGGTTTATTTTGCGGATGTTTGTTATTCCGATGGTGCTGCCGCAAATTCGGCAGGAGATGCAGCTAACATGGCTGGACACACGGACGTGGTGAGCATAGTTTCAGCAAGGGCTAATATATAGAATAAAATGAGTTGTGATGACCCTTGTAAACGAATGTGTAGTTAGATATAAAGTGAAAATGAGTTGTTATTAACATCGCAAACGAATGCATAGTTCAACTAAAATTTAACTTTGGTGCGGTGGTATGGTGTAGATTTTTACTCATTGATTTCGGGTCATTGTGTAAAAAAGCGTGACCCGATTCAAAAAAACTTCAACATACCCGTGTAGCCGGAGTACTAAAGTTGAATTTAAAACTAAACTCTCGAATTAACGAGCACTAATTTTATGAATAAATTCGGTTTGAATTATTTATGAGTGCGGTTTAGTTATTTGTACAACGATTTTGGGTTGCTGAGCCGAAACGCGTGACCCAAATCAAAAAATTTTACTCACACTTGTAGACAAGAGTGTAAGCTTTATTAAACAAAAAATTTACTATATCTGTGTTTATTAATAACTTCGGTTTGAAATATGATATTTTTAGGAGTTAAAAGTGGAATTTTAAATATTTTCATAAGCTCATATTGCGAACACTTGAACCGATTTTAAAAATGGGGAATGGTTGGAAAGATAATTCGAAGACCATTCATATGATATAATATAAATATATTTATAGGAAAATTTAAAAATCGAAGTTATGGCCATTGTTTTAATAATAAGGTTTTTGATTTGAAACGCAAAGTCTTCGGTGGTTTTATATCACTGTTGGTAGTTGTACTTAAACCTAACTATATAAAATTATATACCAAATTATATTTTAATATAGTTAATTACGTGGTTTTTTAGAAACCATACGTTTTGTTAAAACAATGGCCATATTTTCGTTTTTTTAGTTTTACTCGTAATATGTATATAAATGTAAATATATGTAAGGTTTTTAAGGACCTCAACGAGCTTTATTCTTTACGTATGCCTCATTTATAAATGAGTCTGCAGAGGTCTGTAAATTGCACCTTGGTCTTTGTAATGCTTCTGACATATTTTCTAGGTAAATGGCGCAAGTGCTTGTTCATCTGAAGATGACGGTGGAGTCTTGCGCGGTATAGTGACAGAGCTGATGGAAACATCAAGCGATTCAAGTGAGTCTGATGACGACGAGATTTACCAAATCGTTATGGATAATTCTGATAGCGACGACGAGGATTTATTAGAGGAACTATTGAGGGATAGAGAGAGAAAGAAGAGGAATAGCATTAAAAACTATTTGGAGGAAGTGGTACCTACCTATACTGAGGCAGAGTTTAAGATGCACTTCCGTATATCGAAGGAACTGTTTCTCAATTTGTCAGCTAAATTTGAGGAAAGCGATATATATATAAAAGGCTTCGAGTCGATAAGCGTTTACCAGGGAAGACAAACATGGCAGTTTTCTTATGGTTTGCCGGTCATGAGGCATGCAGCTTTCGTGACTTATCCGACCGCTTTAATATATCACTGTCGACTGTTTCTCGTATGGTCAATAGAACGACAATGTTCATTAGCAGTTTGAGTCCAGAGGTTATACGATGGCCTACTGAGGAGAAGAAGCGAGATTCGGCACTTTTTTTTACCAGAAAATGCGGCTTTGCAAAAGCAATCGGTAAGTGGTAAAAACTATAATTGTGCCCTTAATTTTCAAAGTGGTCTAGGTCACTTCACATCTTATGCTTATAAATATATGCTTAAATATATAAACATATTCTAAAATATAGGATGCATTGATGGCACGCATATCGTCATTGATCCTCCAGCTGAGCGGAAAGATGACTACATTGACCGGAAAGGCAACATTACCCTTACTATGCAGGCCATTTGCGATGAAAATAAAAAGTTTATCAACATATTCGTTGGATTTCCCGGATCAAGTCACGATAGTTGGGTTTTTCAGAACTCGCCTATTTACCAAAAATTGTCATCGTATTGTGGAGGTAATAATTTGTTAAAGTAATTTAATTTTTTAGTGGCATATACATATGTAACGTAATATACCCTATTGCTTTTAATCTTACAGATTACTACTTACTAGGAGACTCTGCTTACCCGTGCACTCAGTACGTAATCACGCCATATAAGGATAATGGTTACTTGACGGCCGCGCAGAAAAACTTCAATGTGAAGCTAAGCTCCGGTCGCGTTGCAATTGAGCACACATTAGGAATCCTGAAGCAGCGATTTAGGCAGTTGTACTATTGTAAGCTAAGGGGTAGTAGGAAGTTGTGCCACTTCATAAGGGCGTGTTGTGTCTTGCACAATATTGCGAACGAGAGCGATTTAGAATTTTCGCCAGAAGTTTTAATTGAAGAAAGAGCAGAAAATGAATGTGGTGAAACATCCAGAGGAAACTCTGTCCGGGATGCCATTTGTATGGATTTGCCACCGAGGCAACAATCAAGAAGTATTCCTTAATTTTAACATTTAGATTAAGATTAAAATAAGATGAATATTAAGATTTAGTTTAAGATTTAGTATAAGATTAAGATTAAGATTAAAATTTAGTTTAAGTTAAGATTTGGTTTAAGATTTAGTATAAGACTAAGATTAGGATTTAGCTTAAGATTAAGATTAAGTTTTATTATTAAGATTAAGTTTAATATTAGGATTAAGTATATTTAAGATTGATCATTAAAAAATGAATTTAATAAATTAATGGTCGAAATTTGTCATAAAGATACTGTTATTATTTCACACATAGGTGCACGTATGTATGTATTATGGATAAGGAACTTGCAATATGCCAGGTTTAACTAGGTCATAGATCGCCTTTGTAGAGGATAATAATAGGTCGTAGCCAAAAGCAAATTTCCAAAATTATAACTCGCTCTTTATTCAGTCTTTTATTCAAACTTTTATTCAGTATTTAGTTCAAAATACAGTTTAGTAAAAAGGAACCTTAATGTTAAATGAAAAAAAAAATAAAGTTTGCTTGTAAGTAGGGATGTGCCGGATATAGATTTTGCCGGATAACCGGATTCCGGATATCCTGTAAAAAATTACAGCCGGATTCGGATATCCGATCGGATATCCGGTAGACTGCGGCCCTTAATAAATTTCACAATATTGTTTTTTTGCCGGCTCGAGTTCACCTCGACGTCCGCACCGTTTCTGATGCTACAGAATTTACCACTTCGAAAACACAATCACGCACACATCTGTGCGATGCTATCGCAGTGAAAAATGGCATCTTATAAACAAACAAAAAACAATCTTCATGAAATTCTTTGCTTTTGAACAATCAAGATGTTTTGTTTTCTTACGTTAATTTTTGTTTAAATTATACAGAACCTGTCGGCCGCTGTGGTGTAGTGGTAAGCAGTGCGCGCTTCCACTCCACAATGCCTGGGTTCAAGCCCTAGTCAAAGCAACATCAAAAAAATATAGAAAACTGTTTTTTTTCTTAACAGCGGTCGTCCTTCGGCAGGCGATGGCAAACCTCCGAGTGTATTTTTGCCATGAAAAACAGCTTCTCAAAAAATACAATCGCCGTTCGGAGTAGGCGAAAAACTGTAGGTCCCTCCGCTTTGTGTGACAACATCAAGGCGCACGCCACAAATCGGAGGAGAAGCTCGGCCAAACACTAACATATGTGTAAGCGCCAATCTATTATTATTATTACAGAACCCGCCTATTAACCTTTTTCGTTTCCGAACGCGTAGGTCTGCAATTTCGGTACGACGAAATGAAGAGCTGTGGATGTTCCAATAAATAGTTGCGGCATTGTTGTAATTTTTCGGAACAGATTCGCACCGTCAGAATCGCATATGTGTGTTGATGCCTTATATGGACCTTACATGGTCACATTGTTTGATCAAACTGTCTTCTGTGTAATTAGATGGTTTAACTTACACGCTTCAAAAAACCCATCAAATTTCAGTTTTTCGTTTTGGATGAAGTTGAAGAGAAGCTTTGTATTCATTTGTTAATACTAATACTAAGTCGTATACTTTTTCCTTGTTTAATTATGTGTTTTTATTTAAATTATTGTGTAAAGAATTTTTTAATTTAAACTTTGACCCTTAATAACTTTTGTAATTGTTGTTCCCGCAAACAAATAAATACACCGTTATACTCACCGCAATTATCTATATCGATCCCCATATGTTTTTTTTTTAATTGAGAATCGGAGCTATTCTGCATTTATGACCAAATTTTGCTCAACTTCTATTATATTATATATTTGACAGAAATGCATTTCTGAGAAATTACGCACGCAAATTGATTTCGGTTAATCAAATGTGAAAAACTTGCGTGCGTACCTAGAAAAACTCACGCCGGTAATATTAGGTTGAGCTGTTAGAAACTCAATACACGTCACACATATAGTACATACAAAATTTCACTAAACCCATGCACGCAGTTTGACCAAACAACTCTCCCGTGTAAGGTCCCTATTAATCTTGTACTAAAACGATAACTTTTCCTTCAGCAAACCTGATTATCGATTACTCTTGAGAAATAGAGGAGAAACGTCAAAGACAAAAGATAAACAACTATCTCGTAAAAAACTATTAATAAAAAAATTTACTTGATTATAGGACTAAACATTCAACAACGACAATGCTTCACTATTGCAACATTTTGTGACCCACGTTTCAAAACTCGTTTCTTTTTCTGACGCCAATAAAGCTAAAAACTGGGTTGTTGATGAACTAATTCGAAATTATAAATCAGTTAGTATGGAGAAACCAGTTGAATCATATGAAAAATGCCGAACTATAGTGAAAGCTTCCATCGAAGATCGAGCTCACGAGGATATTTGGATATGGATAGCCAAACGATTGGTAGACAAGTCAGCGAACGTACAAGAAATAAATAATATAAAAAAANTCCTTAGCTTCTATTCGTAGCTGGCCGGCAAAATTTTAGAAAGCTGATTTCAACTGGTGAGTTCATTTGCGAATAAATTCCCTACTTAGTTTTGCTTGAGAGTTGTCACATAAGAATCTGTTAAATGGGCTATGCATGTAAGCGGTTACCCAACGCATAGCACTTCACATGTAGAATTCTGTTTGGTTTTGACTTTTACGTAAAAAGGGTATAGCAGTGCAAGTATGCATAACTGGGCTATTCGCCTTGCTTCTTGTTAAATTTGGTAGTCGTATATTCAACTGATGGTAAGTCTCGTGACGCCATCTATTATGGTACTTTTTGGAAGATCGTATTGTGTGAATGTGTCAGCTCATCAATTGAGTTACCACATCGACACAGTTGTAAACAATGCAGCCGAACCGAGCTATGCAAGTGTCAGCACATCAACTGAGTTACCATATCGACACTGAAGCACACTGAGCTATACATTGTCAGCACATAAACTGAGTTACTGAGTTACAAATTTTTTCAGAGGTGAGTCTGAGCGTGCGGCACATTTCTAAGAGTCAGCACAGTAACTCAGCACAGTGCTGAGTTACCCACCTTTAATTTATGTTGAAAAGAGAAATAGGTTGTTGCCCGATAATGCGGGAATGCTTCTTTTCGTAATGAAAAATATACAGATTGTTAACTTTGATTACTAATTAGACACTTTTAAATTAGATTACAAAAATACAAAATCTGGGTTAAATTTCTAAATTGAATCTTCTATAATCGATATCCGGAATCCGGCCGGATATTAGCCATTATCCGGCCGGATAACCGGATAACCAAAAAACGGCCGGATAGGCCGGATTCCGGATATCTACCGGATACCCGGCACATCCCTAATAGTAAGAATATTATAAGTACACTAAGATTACCCAAGTGCTGGAAAATTGGAAAGACTATAATGAAGTAATCTTCTCAACGCAGCTAATGGGCCAAGTTCAAGAGGCTCAGAATTCAGTGGATGCACAAGAGGTTCAAAATGCGTTGTATGAACAAGTGGCCCAAAATCCAGTAGAAGCAGTGGCACAGAGGAAGGAAGAGATGGCACGAAAGAAGTTGGAGTTGCTAGAGGCTCTCGTCAAGCAAAATAAGCATTAATACTCAGCCTATTTCTGCCTGTTTGTTTGTTGTGCAGATTCGTCTTCTTAAAATTGCGCTCCATTGTTCGAAATTTATTTTCAATCTGCGCTGTTGTGAAGATATACCCTTGCTCTGCCATACGCTCAGTTATAAGTTTCCACATTTTAGTTTTATTTTTAACGGATGCGCTCTTCCCCACTTTAGGCCGTAGCTCCTCGATTAACGTAAGCATCTGCTTTACTGGGGCTTTAACCCACGCCTGCTTCTCAGCCGAACCTGAGTTTTCTTCGGATGGGAGCGTTTCCACATTTCGTTGTGGGCTTTGCATTACCACTGCTTCTACTGGATTTTTGGCCTCTTGTTCATACAACGCATTTTGAACCTCTTGTACATCCACTGAATTCTGGGCCTCTTGAACTTGGCCCATTAGCTGCGTTGAGAAGANAAATTGCGCTCCATTGTTCGAAATTTATTTTCAATCTGCGCTGTTGTGAAGATATACCCTTGCTCTGCCATACGCTCAGTTATAAGTTTCCACATTTTAGTTTTATTTTTAACGGATGCGCTCTTCCCCACTTTAGGCCGTAGCTCCTCGATTAACGTAAGCATCTGCTTTACTGGGGCTTTAACCCACGCCTGCTTATCAGCCGAACCTGAGTTTTCTTCGGATGGGAGCGTTTCCACATTTCGTTGTGGGCTTTGCATTACCACTGCTTCTACTGGATTTTTGGCCTCTTGTTCATACAACGCATTTTGAACCTCTTGTACATCCACTGAATTCTGGGCCTCTTGAACTTGGCCCATTAGCTGCGTTGAGAAGATTACTTCGTTATAATCTTTTCGATTTTCCAGCACTTGGCCGACTAACTGTTGCCGGTAAACTTCATCTGGAAAAAGTGCATGCATGTACGTAAAGCCATAATTTGTGTTACTTTCTATAAAAAAAACTTACCATTTTGGATGCGCGAGAAAGTACCTGGTGAACAAGTCACATTAAGCTGCGAATTATTCATTTTTAGTTAAAATTATACAGCTGAACAACGATCCAAACAAAATGACATTTCTATTTGACATTAGCTTTGTTGTTGCCATTCTTCGGACTAAAAATTTGGTTTTTTGCGTTCCTTTACTTTTTCCTGT